ACAGATTTCCTCGTGGTGCAAAAACTGCAAAACAGTGCACCCTCGACATGATTCTTAATGAACAAGACATGCCAATGGTCAACATCTTCAAACAGAAAAGAATCAAGGGCTGGTGGCCATTTATAGCCAGGGATGAAAATGATGAGATAGAAATCACGGTACATGAAGACAACACAATTCATAAACTACAACTATCAATCATTAAATGTAAACAGCACATAATTGATGACTTTATCCATCTTTTAGGGGAAAGTAGAGGCAGAGCTCCACCTCCTGACAAGTGAAGAAGCTGAAAAAAGTCCTGTTGGTGAAGGACGGAATGAGCCAGAGCCTCTAGAAAAACCCAAGTAAGAGCTGATAAAACTATCAAAAATGAAGACTTCTGTCTCATTTTTTTTCTGATTAATACAACAATACAACAATTAATGTTATAGAGAAATGATGAGAATGAGGTTTTCCTGTATAGAGGATTTCATGTGTATTTTGACTGTTATAGGTAATCAGAAACCAGTGCATGCCATCTCAAAATGGTTTTGTGTTACTTTTCTGGGAAATAGAATAACACAGAACAAATACATGTTGTAGCTGATTAGCATAAACATTTTAAAGCTACAAGAACTGCACTGCACAGTGACAACATTTTCTCAGTCTATGCACAGTAGATGAAACCTTATAAAACATAAAGCATACCCTCTAGACACATATGTCTTCTACATTTAAGATCCGGTGTCTGAGTACAGGCCAGTACAGGGCCTGAACTTTAGGAGGTCTTTCTCTTTCTGCGAGGACTCCCAAAATAAACATTTGTGATTAAATTTGTGCTCTAAATGCATGGAAACCCTATTCACAGACACAGAAGGAAATTCCCCTCAATAAGCAAACAATTGGTGTGAGTAAAAGATCACGGTAAACGATTATACAAATATTACTTTTAAATAGACATAAAAATAGAAAATGTAATCTTTTTAACACGGGAAACGGATACAAGTTACTTCAGAGACTCTTATGAAATGATCGTTTCGGCATCCAAAGTCCGGATTTGTACCAACCTCCTTTGTATGGTAAGTAGTGCTCAAAGAATAATGGTTATAGTGTAACTATAACCATTGTATGAAAATTGAAATGAAATTTTTCTTATTTTATGTTCCATCTCAAATATGTCACAAATGCTTTGAATATTTTCTCTTAAATATCTGCTCTCATTAATGCAACATAGTATACTCTATTGCATTAATGAGTTTTATTATACTCTAGATACATGTAGGTGAGTTTGATGCCATACATTTCAAAACTGTACTATCAAAAAATGACCTAAATTAAAAGTTAACAAGCATTCATGCGAATAGAGGAAAAGGACCATGCCAAATATGACCTATATTGCTAAATAGCAGTTGCGTTATACTACCATATTTTACTAAAACAATTGATTTTTTCACTGTATTTCTTTTCTTATGTATGTTTCCTAACAGTCCTGAACATTTGCTGACTAATCTTTTTGTTTTACAGTCGCCCTGACACAACGTTCCTGTGGTTCATCAGTCCACTCAAAGCAATCCGATATCTTGTCTGCAACAACTACAAATGGCTGATCATCAAAATAGTGGTGGCTTTGCTGTTGTTAGCAATGCTGGGCTTATTCCTTTACAGCATGCCTGGGTATATGGTGAAAAAGCTACTTGGTGCCTAATTGGCCGTTCTGTTATTTATAACAACTCATTTTACACTGTCATCATCTTAGATGCAGTAGCTTCAGTCTTTTTAAGTAGCAGTGATATACAAACTCTCTTTGAAATAACAAAAGCATGTTTGCATACTGTTTGATCAAAACCATATTTCCACACTTTTTTCCACAAAATTGACATTTATTACATTTATGTGATTGCATTTAAGATATTTTCTTTGCTTTGGCATAGGTTTTGCTAATAAGATGAGGAAAATGGTAAAATAGTTTTATATGTATGGTATATGTATTTGAGAATTGGTGTCCGCAAGACATGAATCTCTAGTGCTTAGTAAGTGTTTTCGGCAAATGTATGCAGTGACTATCTCAAAAGATTTCAGATACTGAGGAAGATTTAAAAAGCAACTCAAAGAAGCACTTTAAAAGACTACTCTATCATCATTATGTAAACTTGCTGATATGAAAAAAATAATACATATAAACTGTTAAGGGACATACTATTTAAACTCCAATTAAGTTCCATATTTAAAGTTTTCAAGTGTTTTAATGCTCAAAGTTCTAGGTCTAGTTCAAGGGCTGTATGGAAAGTGGGTGCAACATACAGGACAAGACTTTAATTTACATATAAACAAATATAGCTTGAATTATCATATAATTCTTAGAATAGTGCATGGTTTGAAGGGAATGTGAGGGGTAATCAGTTTCACATTTTCTCCTTGTAACAGCTGTAAGGAATCACAGGTTTGCATTATAGCCCAGGCTTTACAGAAAACATGTAAAATTATAAGAATTGATGTTTTGTTCAATTGTTAGACATAAACAACAGCAGGCCATCAGTGTGACTCCAAATTATATTTTCTTTGTGGAATAATAGTAAATACACAGTTTCTTAGCTATTATATGTTTGCACCATTTGGGTAATGACTCCACATTAGCACTCCACCTTGATTCAATTAAATTTGTATTTCCTCAATGTAAGGTAATACATCTGTGCTTTGTGTGACCAACATAAATAAATAAACTCTACCCATGTACTGATTTCTGGACCTTTTCTTCAAAGACCAAATGTTTGTCTTACAGAAACAAGCACTTATTTTTGCAGCAGTCCATTCTGCAATTTTCGAGTGAACCACATGTTAACATATGCTAATCTTATCTGTAATTATACACTGATATATGAATCTAACCAGGCCAGATCAAGCTTTGCATGGGCTACAAAGAGTATGCCCTACAAAGTAAAGTGATAGTAGAGACATTGGTCATGGAATACCCTGAACAATACATAATTCACAACAATTCACAACACCTTATGATTAGCGTTACTTGCAGACTATCCGCAACTTTACATTGTGTCCAAAGTATCCAAGTGCACTTAACCATGTTTAGGAAAATGCGACAGTCCCTAAGTAATCATGTGCTGAATGGAGTCTGGTGTAGCTATTGGAAATCACCATTGATGTCAAATGCATTGACATGCATTTATGTCCCTCAAATCATTCAGTTACTACGAATAGGCCAACAAGCACATGGATTTTTACCAACCTATAGAGCTTGCTTTTATATTATACTCTATTCCAGACCTTAGGTGTGCAATAGTGGCCCTGCCTCAGCTGTGGGCTCAGGATGGACTATATTGCTTCAGGAGTTCAGCAAGATATGCCTAAATGATTTAGAACTTTAAACATCATTTAAACAACATTAAAAGAGGCAAGACTTTGCACTCAATGCAGAACATAACAGGCAGCCAATTAAGCTTGAATAAGACTGGGGTAGCATTATCTGACTTTGTTGGTAACAGTGTGAATTGTAACACGCTGGTAAAAAAAGGTCAGTAACTGTAATTTTTTGTTTTGCAAAATAGTCATTAAGTTCTAAAGTGAGCGATCTTACTGCAGGGAGACACCATACCAAATATCAGTATTTCTGTTTTAAAAGATTTTTTGTAGAAGGACAGTTCAGCTATCCTGCTAAATCTGGCTGAATGAATGAATATAATTGTGTATCATTAGGGCAGAACCCAAGACTGCATTGATGAATATGTGTTGCTCATCAAGGACTATATACATGCTGCTGCAATTTAAGTCAAAATTGGAAAGAAAGGTTTATGAACAAACGTTAGGTTGGCTTGTCAAAACAAATTAACAGGCCACATACAGTAAATTAAAAAAAGAGAATGATTATAGACCATTTGAGTTCTTGTTTGCTATCAGTTTGAAAAGCAAGTATGTGGTGTGGGTCAATAGATTTGTTGATAACATAATTACAGCTTGCTTATTAAAGTAGTAGCGAATTAAAAGTGCTATATGAGACACTATATAAAACAGTTAAGCTTCTCAAAATGGTTCATAATTACTCATAATTTTTGTCAAAATGTGTTACAAACATAACATTCATGTTGCTCTTTTGTCTCAACAGTCGTCCAGACACTACATTCCTGTGGTTCATTACTCCACTAAAAGCAATCCGCTATTTTATCTGCAATCAGTACAAGTGGCTTGTGATCAAAATTGTCCTAGCTCTGCTCCTACTCGCCATCGTAGCCCTGTTCCTCTACAGTATGCCTGGTTACATGGCCAAAAAACTTCTTGGAGTGTAAGCAAGGAAAATAACAAGCTATATTCCTTTTCATCTCTAAAATTCATCTAGTGAAATGCTGTGCTGAATATAAGTATTTTGGAAGCATAAAACATATAAATGTTACAGTAAGTATGTGTTGTGTTTTCTTTAAGTTTGACAATAAAACTTTGGCCTGTCTAATGTTATTTTGTTCTGATTTTTTTTCTTTAGGTGTTGACTGCTAAGTGGATTTAGCAAAATTCTTTACATTATGTTGTGTAATGTATATTGAATTAAGCCTTATGGTATGTGCACACTCAATGTTAATTCACCATATAATTTCCTTCCACCTTTTAACTAATGTATATTACTAACCTTACATAACTAGATCAAAATTCAGTTGGTACCTATGCTTTTCATTTTTATAAATCACTTAACCTATTGTATTAATGATTCACTTATTCACCTAATCAAGTGTTTTTGAACAGTCAAATTTATTCTTCAAAAAATAGTGGCCATCCATCCTTTCAAGAGCATTAATTTCTGTGAAATGTGCTTTCTTTATATGTAAAGCCATCATTTGAGGTATAATTACAAGAGAATAAATATTTTGACAAAAACCTGGTCATGTATTGTGAAATACCAGGGAGCATCAGGCACAAGGCGGGGCACAATCACGAGATCCATGAAGGTATATACAGTCAACGGGACAAACGTTTCGGAAACTCGGATGGTTTGAGTTTGGTAACAGATCAAAAATGGTTCCTTCGAGCCGGATTCGAACCAGCGACCTAAGGATCTCTATGAGTAATCCACTACAGTCCTCCGCTCTACCAACTGAGCTATCGAAGGCCACAAGAGCACCATGACACCAGTTCCATATAAACATAACTAAATATTTCTAAAAAACATGTTGCTTCTATTTGTTAGCGACGCGCTATTGAAGTTTTGAGTTTATAAGTTTTCTTTCCGATTGTGTCGGGAGTAAAAATGCTCTGAAGCACAAAATAGAGAACGCAGCGACTTCTATTGGCCTCCACGAGTTATTGACGATTTTTTAAAAACTGGATCGACAAGTAGATGTGGCTGCAGCCTACAGAACTGGGAGTATCTGCCATGTTTTAAACGCCCCATAAACACTCAAATCACTCTTTCCAGTTCACTAAATGACTTATCAGGAGGTATAGAAACAGATCAATTACCTAATGCGACTGAGAAAAAACTTACTCTAGCACTTACACCTCTACTCTGCACACTTGGCTTCTTCTGGAACTCAATTAATGGATCTTGTATGGTAGCACTACTTGTATTGTTCTCTGCTTGATATATCGCTTTGCTTGTATTTTCTCATTTGTAAGTCGCTTTTGATAAAAAATGTAAATGTAAATGACAACGGCTACACACAGACATATATAACTAGAGCATTTACGACTGGGGCAACCAGGGGTAAAATTATGGGGTACTTTTCTGCCCTAATCTTAACTGTCACCATGTTTCAGATCTAGTTTGAAATGCTTCTCCAACTCTGGTTACACCACGGTGTAAAACAGTACCTTTTACTAACATTTTACTTTCAGATTTTACTTGCTGAAATGTTGTTGTGACGTTTTTGTAGGGTTCCTGCATTTAGACATTTTATTGTAGTTAGAGGGGCTCTCAGTGTTTTAATCCCTGCATCTCTGTCCTGTGGAGATGGATATAACTTTTTGCATAGCTAACTAGACAGATGTAGATCACAACCAAGAAGAAAGGTTACAGGTAACAAAACTCAAACTCACTACACGTTTGTTTTTTCCACACGACAGTAAACTACATAATTCAGTAAATTCAGTCTTTGGTATTTGTAGTGGATACAATTGCAATTTCTGTGATTGTTTCTATTGTTTTTCAGCAGGACAGTGAGGTCTGCTTCTTTAATCACTCAAATGTTAAAAATATAACAGCAGAGATAACAGGTCTCTAGTGCATCCTTAGCAAGTCTCTCCCACTTACGGTCAAATATCCACTACAACCCTTAACCAACTGTTAATAAAATCAGTACTAACCCTTGGATGTACATTTTAGCACACACAGACAGGTGTGTTATATAAAATATTTTATTGTGACACACGTAAACACACACTTGCATCATAAGACATCATAAGAGTGTTTTAGTCAGAGTAGTGGGTAATGTCAGGATGGATAGTAGTGCTCACTACCTACAAATGCTTCTCCGAAAACACACTCTAGTCCAGCGGTCCCCAACCCCCGGTCCGCGGACCGGTTCCGGTCCGTGGGTCATTTGGTACCGGGCCGCACAGAAAGAATAAATAACTTACAATTTACGTTACATCCTTCTACGACTCACTCTTGACGCATGTCAAGACGCTTGTCTCGGTCACGTGATACGTTGAAACCTTACCATAGAGACCAGAGAGCGTTAGGGGGGAGAGAGGATGTTACGAGGACGCTGTTAATAAAGTTGCGATTTCACATTGGATTCACGTTTATTATTATATTTTAAAAATACCCCAGTTTTTATGCCGGTCCTGTCATTTTATTTTGTTGTATTTATCCGCCACACCTTAAAGCCCGGTCCGTGAAAATATTGTCTGATATTAAACCGGTCCGTGGCGCAAAAAAGGTTGGGGACCGCTGCTCTAGTCCACATTTTTTATTTACTGACAGTTTAATTAAGCAACATAAAATTTCTTAATTGGGTCTTAAGGAGTTCACAATTAGGAACTTGTACACAAAGTTTGTAATACAGTGCACTGCAACCTATTTAGTGTTTTACAAAGGTCAGTGCTGTGTTGTCAAAATAAAAAGTAAAAAAAAAGGCTGTACCATTCATCATTTCCTGTTTTAACTGCCAGTATTTTAAAACATGGTATAAAATCATACTTCATGTAGTCATGGACATTTCAACGCAGTTCAGTACATCCATTCTATATAGCCTACCCTGCATGGCAATCCATATAGACAAGTCATCCTTTGTACATTTGTCTCAAAAATTCACTAGTGTATATGATTCTTTTGGCATTTAAGAAAGATATTGCACATGCAGAGAAAACTGCAACTATCCTGTGGTGGATTTTTCTACATCCATGGAGCCATAACAGACGTTTCTCTCTGTACCTAAAATTCAGCATGAATATAAAAAAAAAATAGTAACATGAATGTTATGATTGTTCTTTAGTTAACATTAAGATGCATACAGTACAACTTACTTTGTTTAATTCGGGGAAAAGCTCCAGAATTACTACATCAAGCAGTATGTATGTCAGCTGCAAGGAGATGTGGCAAAATTCCTGAATTATTATCATTTGTACAGTGGCTTTCACAATGAAGGCAATAATTTATTAGCACTTACCTGCTTGTTAAGAACTGGCTGCTGAAGTCCATCAAAGAGAAGCTTTATCCCCTCATATTTTGCTTCCTCTCCAATACATTTTCCAAGCAAATCTAACACCAAAGCACCAATTTCACTTAATTATTTAAATATTATTAAGACCTCAGATCTGAGAAATAATGGCCCCTTTTCATGCAAACTGTATAGACATTTGAGCTTAATTCATTATACTGTCAGATGGTATCCAAATGAGTGTCAATTTGAGCGCAATTGACGAATCTCCTTCAGTGCCAAGCTCCTGTCCTCTATTCCCTTACTTACATATCAGACACATATGACACCATGATTTACACTCATATACAGCACATGTAATTTCCTAATCAAACGATCTACCTTCTTAGCACAAGGTTCAGAGTGATTATCGATGTTATTTTCTATCGTTAATGTTTTTATACTATTTACTATTTAATTATTATTATCATCATTGTTATTATATTCTTTACTAAAACTAATTTTGATGATTATTATTAACATTAAAATTGAACTATAAAATTCAGTATTTTTCTAGTTGTATAAACACACAAATTTACATACTCCAACCAGATGTAAGTTTGTTCAGTCAGATATACCAAAGATGAAACTGATGATTAACAAACCGTCAGAGGAATTTGTGTACATTTGTTTTACACTCATAGCTATCGCAACTTGAAATGCGCCTCATACTGCATGTTCGTCAGCACTAAAGGTGTTACTAATTATTAATCTACTATAATTCTGGAGTAAAGCACTTGATGGACTAATAATTATCTTTCATTAGCTGAATAAAATTTGCATACATAAACATAATCTGTGAATTAAAACCATTCAAACCTGGAAAAAAAATAGTTACTGAAAGGGGATATGTGCAGTAATTTTAAAACCAACAGCTGCTAAACCTGGAATGTAATTCCTCATTTCGTCGAATGTTTTTCTGGCTCTTTTTTGCTTGTCTTCTAAAGAGCGTGGTTCACTGTTCTCACAGAATACAGCATCTAGGGAAGAGTACATACTGTCAAATGATAATACTAAAATATAGATTGTAAGTGTCTGGAATTAAAAAAACAACAACGACGTCAAGTTAAATTAACGACTAAACCCATTATCAACTCTAATTATACTAGTAAGTTTATTATGATCATTTGTTATTTAATATCAGATGACAGTCCCACTTTTTGGGTGTAGTACTCGTTACCTCTGAGCAGAGTGATAAGTGAAACCACTCGATGCTCCTGAAACACCTGGTCTAGTTTGTTCTGCAGATAGTAGTCAGTATATGCCTCCAGTGTGTTTTTAAACAGGATGCGACCACCCATTAAGAGATGATGTAACCAATCAGGTACATGAAATACCACTCGTCCTGCCAAAAGTTTGGGACCAAAAAAAACTTTAGTTGTAGTAACATTAAAATGCTTCATAATTCTAATTTCAATTATTTATCATTCTTAATGCTCAATGTATAAAGTTTTTATAACTACTATGGATGATAAAATAATGACATATAGTTTGAATAGGACTCAGTATGTGGAGACTTACCTAGAAACATTAAGTAGTCATAAACTCCTTCTACGGTGATCATCTCCATAAAGTAATTCTGGTTGTGCCTCTTCTCTGTGACCTCTGAGCGATTTGCATTGTTTTTGTATAGTTCATTAAAAAGCTACGGGATACCAAAGTGTATTCAAAGTCAAAGATACAGTTTCAGATTCAAACACTATTCTAACAGAAACAAAGCAAAATATTGACTAATTGATATTGACTAATTCTAGTAAAACTGAAAAAGCTTGCCTTTTTATTGTTTTCCGATGTGGGGCTGAGGATTGTGAGTTCAGGCCGGTTGGGTTTGGGTTTCGGTGACTCACATGAGTTGAAGAAAGCCTGGATAAATGGTTCTAGGTGCTGGCCTTTCTGTAGAAAAGTAAATATACTAAATAAATCCTTGGAATTATATCAAAGCAGTATCATCTAGTGCACTAGTTGCATCTAAGAAAAAACAACTAACCTCTTTGATTAGTTTGCTAGGTACAGATTTAATTATCTTCCCTGTAAGAGAAAAATATTAATAAAGTGTTAATAAAGAGTCTGTGTTCTACTCATAACTATAATTATGCACACTAAGTACCAAGATTGACATCAGGTAACATCTTGTCATGAAACTGCGACTCCACGCTGTGAGGGGAGAGAAAGTCTGCCAGCAGCTGGCTATTGCTCAACTCAGGGTGTTGCAGGAGTTTCTAAGAAAACACAACCAGCATCCACATGTCAGTGATTACATACAGGGCATGTTGCTCTAACTGAAACAAAAGTTTCTCCATCATTAATACCTGTAGGTATTCCTGAAATTCCTCACGCTTGGATGTTAAAAACTCATAGTTTTTAGGTCCAATTATCCGCTTGGATGGAAGTTGTGCATCAGGGAATGAGCCTGTTTCAATGTAAAAATATATATGTACATACAGTGCTGTGAAAAAGTATTTGCCTCATC